TTTGTCCATTCCTAAGATATTATTTTAGAAATAATTTTTTTTCTATGTCTAATGAATAGAGATATATTGTGGAGGTCGAAACCAACTCAATTGAATTTGTCAATGGTTTTTAAGGGAAACGAGATCTCTAGGAAAGAATCACAAGAACAATCAAGAACAGAGACAAAAACACGGAAACTGCGTTAAGAAAATTTTTATTGATTTTTGCTTAGTGTGTGTGCGTAAAGCCGCGGATCCCCTCTTCAAAGGAGTTACAAGAGTAAATATACAAGTCTAAGTCGGCTAGGTCTAACAACTAAGAGATAAGGAAGTTTTCCGTATTCCTCGGGATTTTTCTTTTATCGTAGTCGGCGCTAGCCACGGGCTTTGTCGTCGTGGGCTAGACTTTGCCATCTCGTCACCTCGTCATCTTGGGCTTGCGTTCCTGGCCCAACTTCTTGTAGTCGGTCCATTGCCTAGCTCTTTAGGATGGTAGTCTTCTGCAAGGCTGTGCTCGGTGACAGATGGCAGAGATTGGCGGAAATAAGAATTTCCGGCGAGTTGCCCAGGTCTCCAGAGTGTACTCGGCATTGTCCCATAAATGCCTACTTCCATACTTAGCCATTTTATCAAATAACTGTCGGAGAGAGTTTTAACCCTAACAGTTAGCCCCCCAGCTTGGTAGTGTTCGTCAGGAGAATGCCAAGTTAAAGACAATCGAAGACGAGGTCAATGCTTCCAAACTTAGCTTCATGTTAAAATGGCGCCATGTCAAGACGTGTCTACGGTTATTCTGCCGAGTAAATATGCCTCCGTAAACGTTGTAACCTGATTCATATTTGTTCTCCCGATTCGACTAGATTCGTGTTTATTGAAATTTACCGTCTTGCTTAAGCTGTCGAGTTTACATGTTTCAGAAAATGCTTAACCCGATAGTACTTTCAGACTAAATTTAAGCTTGTTTTGTAAAAACTATACGAATTTGCGATTTATGATTTGTATCGTTTCGTATCCCGTCATTGCCAAGTTTACATGTTCTGGAATGTTTAGCTTGACAAATCTCCATACTTAGTAAAAATTCATATTCCTTCCAGGAATTAAAATTTTGAATTTCCTGTTTCGCCAAGGAATCAAATTGGTAGATTGCCTTTTC